CATTAAAAAGCTATTTAATTTGAGGATGTCCGAGAGTCAGAAATTCAAGGAACATCTGAACGAGTTTAACGAGATCACGGATCAACTAAACTCGGTCAATATTCAGTTTGACGATGAAATCCAAGCCCTCTTGATACTTGGTCAATTGCCCGACAGTTGGAAGGGTACCGTTATCTCGATTAGCGGATCATGTGGCAAATCAAAACTGAAGTTTTCAGAGGTGGTAGACATGATTATGACTGAGGAGATTAGAAGGCAAGAGGAAGGGATTTCTAATTCAGGGTCGGCATTGAATCTTGAGAGCAGAGGAAGAAACAGAAACAGAAATAGAGGGAATAGCCGAGGAAGATCTAACTCGAGGAACGGAAGGCCAAAGTTCAGGAACCACAAGGGCAAGAAGGAAATTGACTGCTGGAATTGTGGCAAGTTTGGCCACTATGAAAATCAGTGCCGAGAACCCAAGAAAGACAAGGAGAACAAGACTGAAGCGAACGTGGCCTAAGGAGAATCAGATGATGCCCTAATCTGTTCGTTGGAGAGCAAAACTGAATCGTGGGTGCTGGATTCAGGAGCTTCGTTTCATGCTACCTCAAATGGAGATTTATTTGAGAACTATGTTTCAGGAAACCTAGAAAAAGTCTACCTTGGTGATGATCAGCCCTGTGATATTGTTGGCAAAGGAGTCGTGCAAATCAAGCTCAATGGGTCTACATGGAAGCTGAGTGATGTGAGACATGTTCCTAGCTTGAGGAAAAATCTGATTTCCATAGGACAATTGGCGAAAGAGGGATACGTATCAACCTTTGCATGTGATACATGGAAGGTTACAAAGGGATCCATGGTTGTTGCCCGTGGTACGAAGACGGGATCTCTCTACATGACGATAGATGCACGAGGCTCCATTGCAGTGGCTGAAGGCAGTGAAGACCCAAATTTGTGGCACCAGAGGTTAGGTCACATGAGTAGCAAAGGCCTAAAGGTTATGCAATCGAACGGGAAGTTACCAGGTTTGAGATCGGCTGATATTGACCTATGTGAAAGCTGCATTCTAGGGAAACAAAAGAGAATAAGCTTCAAAAGGGTTGGCAGAACCCCTAAGGAAGGGAAGCTTGAGTTAGTTCACACAGATGTGTGGGGTCCAGCATCAGTTCCATCCACCGGCGAAAGGTTATATTTTGTGACCTTCATAGATGATCACTCGAGGAAGACTTGGGTCTATTTCATTAAACACAAATCAGAAGTGTTTGAAGTCTTCAAGAGATGGAAGGCTATGGTTGAGAACGAGACCGGTTTGAAGATCAAGAAGCTTCGTTCTGACAACGGCGGCGAGTATGAAGACTCAGAGTTCAAGAAGTTCTGTTATGACAGCGGCATTAGATTAGAGAGGACAGTGCCAGGTACACCCCAGCAGAATGGCATAGCAGAACGCATGATAGCAGAACGCATGAACAGAACCTTGACTGAGAGAGCCAGAAGTATGCGGTTACAAGCAGGTTTTCCAAAGCAATTCTGGGCAGAACCAGTCAACACAGCTGCCTACTTGATCAACCGGGGACCATCAGTGCCTTTGGAACACAAAATACCTGAAGAAGTATGGAGTGGAAAGCAGGTAAATCTTTTTCATCTGAGAATATTTGGATGTGTTTCATATGTACATCTGAGTGATCATGTTAGAAGCAAACTCGATCCTAAGTCCCTAAAATGTTTCTTTGTTGGCTATGGCGGCGATGAGTTTGGCTACAAGTTCTGAGACGAGCAGAATAAAAAAATCATCAGAAGCAGGGATGTGGTCTTTAACGAATCAGTCCTCTACAAAGACCGTGATGCAGTTCAGCTCACTAGCTCGATGCAGAGTGATCCTACGTATTTTGAGTCAGATGATGCCTCAGGTGGAGGCAATCCCGAAGCTAGTTCTGATGAAGAAGAAGAGATGATGGATGGGACCACTTCAGAGGGGGCGGATGAAGATGAAGAGCCTGTTTCGCCCGTCAGAGAGTTGAGGCGGTCAGCTAGAGTCCCCAAGCCTAATCCGAAGTACCCATCACTACAGCCCAGAGCTCATCTCAACTACCTATTGTTGAGTGACGGTAGAGAGCCAGAAAGTTATGATGAGGCCCTTCGAGTGGATGATGCGAGCAAGTGTGAGCTCGCCATGAAAGATGAAATAAAATCCTTGAACACCAACAAGACATGGGAACTTGCGAAGCTACTAACGGGGAAAAAGGCCTTGAGCAATAAATGGGTGTACAGAATCAAAGAGGAACATGATGGTTCCAAGAGATACAAGGCCAGATTGGTGGTTAAAGGATTTCAGCAGAGGGAAGGAGTTGATTACACAGAGATCTTCTCTCCAGTAGTCAAACTGACTACCATCAGAACAGTCCTGAGTATTGTTGCAGCTGAAGATCTACATCTCGAGCAGCTAGATGTAAAGACAGCTTTCCTCCACGGTGATATAGAGGAAGAGATATATATGCAGCAGCCAGAGGGGTTTACTCAGAAGGGAAAAGAGGAGATGGTATGCAGATTGAAGAAGAGCTTGTACGGCCTAAAACAAGCTTCAAGACAATGGTACAAAAAGTTTGATGGATTCATGCACAGGAACGGTTATTCCAGGTGCAATGCTGATCATTGCTGTTTTGTCAAAGAGTTTGACAAGAGTTACATCATCCTGCTCCTATATGTCGACGACATGCTTGTGGCCAGTTCAGACTTGAGAGAGATCAAGAAGCTGAAGAAGCAACTGTCGAGTGAGTTTGACATGAAGGACCTAGGCGCAGCGAAGCAGATATTGGGAATGAAGATCAGCAGAGACAAAGTCTTAGGCACACTACGACTATCTCAGGCCGAGTATATTCGACGGGTGCTTGAGAGATTCGGGATGAGTGGTGCTAAGGCCGTCAGCACACCGTTAGCTAGTCATTTCAGATTGACTAAGGAGCAGTGCCCCGAGACTGATGAAGAGAAGGAATACATGGCTAAGGTTCCATATGCTTCAGCCATTGGAAGCCTTATGTACGCCATGGTATGCACGAGACCTGACATTGCCCATGCAGTGGGAGCTGTGAGCAGATTTATGTCAGATCCAGGAGAGCAGCACTGGGAAGCAGTAAAGTGGATTCTGAGATACCTGCGAGGTACTATAGAAGATTGCTTATGCTTCAGGAGAGGCAAGTTAGTCCTACAGGGTTTTGTTGATGCAGACTATGCTGGTGAGATAGACCAGAGAAGAAGCACTACATGATATGTATTTACTTTGGGCTCTACAGCTATTAGTTGGATTTCTCAGTTGCAGAAGATCGTTGCCTTATCAACGACAGAGGCTGAATATGTTGCTGTGACAGAGGCAAGCAAGGAGATGATATGGTTGCAGGGTTTCTTAGAAGAGCTGGGACAGAAGAATGAGAAGAGTGTCCTACATTGTGATAGCCAGAGCGCAATTCATTTGGCAAAGAATCCCGCTTTTCATGCAAGGACCAAACACATACAGGTCCGCTACCACTTCATAAGATCAGCGTTGTACGAGGACATGTTGGAACTTGTGAAGATTTAAGGAAGCAAGAACCCAGCTGATATGCTTACCAATGTTGTCACTACAGAGAAACTGAAGTTGTGTTCAACTTCAGTTGGCCTCAGCACTTGATAATATGGAGGCCGTCGCCGCAGAGAGAGTTGGAAGAGATTGATAGATTAGTCTCCAAGTGGGAGATTGTTAGGATATGTGAAGCCTAACTATCAGACATGCCCTACATTTCAGAAGAGAGGAGGAACAAAGCTGGAACAGGATGAACAGGATCGACGATGGCGGAGTTCAAGCAAAAACGACGAAGGAGGCAGTTTTCTGCATTGCGGTCGACCGGCCATGGCGCGGCGGTCGACCGACGTCGTGCACAGCTGGGTGCACAGGCCAGGAGCTCATCGCGGTCGACCGCACGTGGCGCTGCGGTCGACCGCTCAAAGTCCAGAGAGCAGGCCGGAGTTTTGTCTTCGTCGCGGTCGACCGCACATGGCGCTGCGGTCGACCGCCCAAAGTCCAGAGAGCTCGATCAGAAATAGGATTCGTCGCGGTCGACCGCACGTGGTGCTGCGGTCGACCGGAGTCGGGTTTTGGCCCAGTTTCGAATTATGACCGTTTTTGTTATGTTTGCCTTTTTTGTTTGGTAAACCCTTAGTCCTATAAAAGGTTGATTAGGGGCATGATGTTAAAGAGACGAAAAAATAAGAATTTTCTCCTGCGGCGGGCCGTGGACGAGTTTCTCACATTGAGAAGCCGAACCACGTAAATCTTGTGTGTTTGAGATTGTTTGATTTTTCTCTTTTTCCTCCTAAATCTCTATTTCCAAATCGCATCAGGGGGTATTGTGCATCCCAACACCTATTCCTCATCCCACTTAAGTTGACACAATTTTCAACACAAACACACCACACACACACCACGCGACGCGCGGCGCGCGGCACAACACACACACACACACCATCACACACACACACATATATTATATATATATATATATATAATATATATATACTATATATATATATATATATGAGATAAATAGAGAAAACTTGAATAGGCAAGTTGCTCAAGCAACTTGGTAGTGATTGGCGCCTAATTTTGGTCTCTACATCTGCATTGGAGTTGGTGAATGATGGTTAAGGCCTATCTTCGGGTGTGAATGTAGGGACAAATTACGGCCAGCATTACTACCGACAATTGCTCTAACACAACACACACACTCCTCTCTCTCTCTCTCTTCTCTCTCTCTCTCGATCTCTCTCTCTCTCTCTCTCTCTCTCTCTCTCTATATATATATATATATATATATATATATATATATATATATAATATTATATATATTATATAATGATCATATATTTGAGCAATTGATAGCTACATTCAAAAAGAATGGTGATTACTCTACTCGAAATGAAAATGAGGATGCTAAAGGAATTTTCCGTCAATCATGACAAATTTAAGGGGGTTTTTATAATTTGCACAATGATACTGCAATGGGGTTAGTATCACTATATTCCCTTCTCAAGATTCATAATGTCATTGAGCAGAGCGATAATTTTATTAAACAATATTACTATTCTCCTATCTCTTGGTCACAAGTACATTTGAATTATACAAGTCATGCAGCATGCTGATTATGCTTCTTTGATTTTCAGAACATCATTTTAAAACTCATCTCTCCCAACCTCGACTGCCAAATGAACAATCCTATCCATGGTTGGGAGTAGAGTATATAAAGATCATCGTTCAATCATCTGAGATTTTCTGCTGATACATCTCAGTGTAGCTAATTACAAGCTCCTGACAGTAAACCAACACATTCCTGAAAAGGGGAAAAGAAAAAGAAAAAGGAAAAAAAAAGTTTAGTCTTTTTCATTTAGAGAGGTGTTTGCAGAAGACTATTATAAACATTTTTTAAGAGAAAACTACCACAAATTTTCAAAACTGCAGAAAATATCATGAACTATTGAAAATTGTTGCTAATATAATATATATATATATATAATCATATATATATATATATTATTATATATATATATATTATAATCATTTCTCACCCTGGTGTCTTGACTTTTACCAAATTGATAATGTAATTGGCAACAATTTTCAACAGATCATGATAATTATTTTTTTTCTTGCCAGTTTTTTGGAAAAATTGTGGTAGTTTTCTCTTAAAAAATGTTTATATAGTCTTCTGCAAACACCTTCTCTAAATGAAAAAGACTAAACTTTTTTTTTCCTTTTTCTTTTTTCTTATTTCCCTTTCAGGAATGTGTTGGTTACTGTCAGGAGCTTTGTAAATTAGCTACACTGAGATGTTATCAGCATGAAAATCTCAGATGACTTGAACGATGATCTTTATATACTCTACCTCCCAACCTATGGATAGGATTGTTCATTTTGGCAGTCTGAGGTTGGAGAGCATGAGTTTTAAAATGATTGTTATGAAAATCAAAGCAAGCATATCAGCATCCTGCCATGACTTGTATAATTCAAATGTACTTGTGACCAAGAGATAGGCAGAATAATAATTATTGTTTACATAAATATATCGCTGCTTGCTCAATGACATTATGGAAGCTTGAGAGGGAATATAGGATACTAACCCCATTGCAGTATCATTGTGCAAAGTATAAAACCCCCTTGAATTTGTCCATGATTGACGGAAAATTTCCTTTAGATCCTCATTTTTCATTTCGAGTAGAAAGGTAAATTCCCATTCTTTTTGAATGTAGTAATCATATCTCAAATAAATTAATCATATATATATATATAATATATATATATATATATATATATATATAATATAATATATATATATATAGAGAGAGAGAGAGAGAGGAGAGAGAGACGAGAGATCCCGAGAGAGATGAGAGAAGAGAGAGAAGAGAGGATGTGTGTGTTGTGTATAGAGCAATTTCGGTAGTAATGTGGCCTAATCTTGTCCCATACATCACACCGAAGAATAGAGCCATAACCATCATTCACCAACTCCAATGCCAGATGTAGCAGACCAAAATTAGGCCGCCATCACTACCAAGTTGCTTGGAGCAACTTGCTATTCAAGTTTTCTCCATTTATCTCATATATATATATATATAGTATATATATATATATATATATATATATATATTATAATATATGTGTGTGTGTGTGATGTGTGTGTGTGTGTGTTCGTGCACGCGGCCGCGCGTGGGGTGTGTGTGGGTGTGTTTGTGTGTGAAAACTTGTGTCAACTTTAAGTGGATGGGAATAGTGTTGGGATGCACAAACCCCCCCTGATGCGATTTGGAAATAGAGATTTAGGAGAGAAAAGAGAGAAAAAATCAAACAATCTCAAAACACACAAGATATTACGTGGGCTTCGCTTCTCAAGTTGTAGAGAAACTACTTCACACGGCCGCCCGCAGGGAGAAAAAATTAAAATTATTTTTTCGTCTCTTTTACATCATGCCTAACAACCCTTTTATAGAACTTAAGGTTTTTAACCACAAAAAAGGAAACATAACAAAACAGGTCATTAATTCGAATCTGGGTCAAACCCAACTCCGGTCGACCGCCGCCACCAACATCCGGTCGACCGCGACGAATCTTTTCATGATCGAGCTCTCTTGGCTGGGCGGTCGACCGCAGCGCCATGTTGCGGTCGACCGCGACGAAGACAAAAACTCCGGCCTGCTCTCTGGACTTTGAGCGGTCGACGCAGCGCCACGTGCGCGTCGACCGCGATGAGCTCCTGCGCCTGTGCACCCAGCTTGGCACGACGTCGGTCGACCGCCGCGCCATGGCGGTCGACCGCAATGCAAAACTGCCTGCTTCGTCGTTTTTGCTTGAACTCCGCCATCGTCGATCCTGTTCATCCTGTTCCAGCCCTTTGTTCCTCCTCTCTTCTGAAATGTAGGGCCATGTCTGATAGTTAGGCCTTCACATATCCTAAAACAATCTTCCCACTTGGAGACTAATCTATCAATCTCTTGCAACTCTCTCTGCGGCGACGGCCGCCATATTATCAAGTGCTAGGGAACTGAAGTTGAACACAACTTCAGTTTCTTGTAGTGACACACTTGGTAAGCATATCAGCTGTTGTTCTTGCTTCCTTAAATCTTCACAAGTTTCCAACATGTCTCGTACAACGCTGATCTTATGAAGTTTGGTATGCGGACTGTATGTGGTTTGGTCCTTAGCATGAAAGCGTAGATTCTTTGCCAAATTGAATGCGCATACTGGCTATCACAACTGTTAGCGCACAACTCTTCTCATTCTATCTGTCCCAGCTCTTCTAAGAACCCTGCAACCATATCATTCTCCTTGCTTGCCTCTGTCACTAGCAACATATTCAGCCTCTGCGTTGATAAGGCAACCATCTTCTGCAACTGAGAAATCAAACTAATAGCTGTTAGAGCCAAGTAAATACATATCATGTCAGCTGCCTTCTTCTCTCGGTCTATCTCCACCAGCATAGTCTGCATCAACAAAACCCTGATAGGACTAACTTTGCCTCTCCTGAAGCATAAGCAATTTCTATAGTACCTCGCAGGTATCTCAGAATCCACTTTACTGCCTTCCCAGTGCTGCTCTTCTGGATCTGACATAAATCTGCTCACAGCTTCCCACTGCATGGGCAATGTCAGTCTCCCCACGTGCATACCATGGCGTACATAAGGCTTCGTGGCTGAAGCATAAGGAAATCATTAGCCATGTAATCTTTCTCTCAAGTCTCGGGGCACTGCCTCCTTTATTCAACATCTGAAATGATATTGCTAACGGGTATAACGTGTGCGCTGAGGCCTTAGCACCACTTATCCCGAAATCTCTCAAGCCACCCGTCGAATAATACCTCGGCTAGATAGTCGTAGGTGCCTAAGCTTTGTCTCTGCGATCTTCATTCCAATATCTGCTTCGCTTGCGCCAGGTCCCTTCATGTCAAACTCAACTCGACAGTTGCTTCTTCAGCTTTCTTGATCTGCTCTCAAGTCTGAACTGGCCACAAGATGTCGTCGACATATAGGAGGCAGTGATGACTGTAAACTCTTGTCAAACTCTTTGACAAAACAGCAATGATCAGCATTGCACCTGGAATAACCGTTCCTGGTGCTGAATCCATCAAACTTTTCCTCCGCTCCAATTGTCTTGAAGCTTGTTAGGCCGTACAAGCTTCTTCTTTCAATCTGCATAACCATCTCCTCTTTTCCCTTACTGAGTAAACCCCTCTGGCTGCTGCATATATATCTCTTCCCTATATCACCGTGCGAGGAAAGCTGCTTTACATCTAGCTGCTCGAGATGTAGATCTTCAGCATGCAACAATACTCAGGAACTGTTACTGCATGGTAAGTCAGTTTGTTTTGACTAACTGGGAGAGAAGATCTCATGTGTAATCAATCCTTCTCTCTGCTGCAAATCCTTGACCACCAATCTGGCCTTGTATCTCTGGAAAAACCATCATGTTCCTCTTTAATTCTGGTACACCCATTTATTGCTCAAGGCCTTATTTTTTCCCGGTTGCGTAGCTTCGCCAATTCCGAATGTCTTGTTGTGTGTTCAAGGATTTTATTCATCTTTCGATGAGCCCGAGCTCCCACGATTGCTCGCAATCATCCACTCGAAGGCCTCATCATAACTTTCTGGTTCTCTACCGTCACTCAACAATAGGTAGTTGGAAGATGGAGCTCTGGTCTGTATGATGGGTACTTCGGGATTAGGCTGGGGACTCTAGCCTGACCGCCTCAACTCTCTGACGGGCGGAACAGGCCTCTTCATCTTCATCCGCCCCCTCTGAAGTGGTCCCATCCATCCATCTCAATTCTTCCTTCTCAGAACTAGCTTTCGGGATTGCCTCCTACCTGAGCATCATCTGACTCAAATACGTAGGATCCACTCTGCCATCGAGCTAGGAGCTGAACATGCATCACGGCTCTTTGTAGCAGGACTGATTCGTTAAAGACCACATTCCCTGCTTCTTTGATGATTTTTTTATTCTGCTGTCTCAGAACTTGTAGCAAACTCATCTCCGCCATAGCCAACAAAGAAACATATTTTAGGACTTCAGCGATCGAGTTTGCTCATAACATGATCACTCAGATGTAACATATGAAACACATCCAAATATATCTCAGGATTGAAAAGATTTACCTGCTTTCCACTCCATACTTCTTCAAAGGTATTTTGTGCTTCCAAAAGGACTGTGTAGCTGTCCCCGGTTTGATCAAGAGGCACGCTGTGTTGACTGGTTCTGCCGCAGAATTGCTTTTGGAAAACCTGCTTGTAACCGCAACTTCTGGCTGCTCATCATGTCAAGGTTTCCTGTTCGATGCGTTTCATTGCTACGCCATTCGCTGGGTTTTACCTGGCACTGTCCCTCTCTAATCTAATGCCGCTGTCATAACAGAAACTTCTTGAACTCGAGTCTTCATACTCGCCAGCCGTTGTCAGAACGAAGCTTCTTGTATCCCTTCAAACCGCGTTCTCGTTATCTCAAACCATAGCTTCACATCTCTTGAAGACTTCAAACACTTCTGATTTCGTGTTTAATGAAATAGACCCAAGTCTTACCTCGAGTTGTATCGATCTATGAACGGTCACAAATACTAACCTTTCGCCGGTGAGGAACTGATGCTGGACCCCACACATCTGTGTGAACTAACTTCAAGCTTCCCTTCCTTAGGGGTTCTGCCAACCCTTTGAAGCTACTTCTCTTTTGTTTCCCTAGAATTGCAGCTTTCACACTAGGTCAATATTCAGCCGATCTTCAAACCTGGTAACTTCACGTTCCGATTGCTAACTTATTAGGCCTTTGCTTACTCATTCGACCTTAACCTCTGGT